TGCCTTCAAACGGCGTTTGAGCTAAATGCTCCTTATGGTTGTGCATATCCGCGTCCGCAGATTCTCATTATTTTCTTTTATTGTAGAGTCTGCAGTCATTACAGGCTATGATTATTCATTTATTCAGCCCCAGAAACTTTGGCAAAGGAACGAGTGGAGGATAGATGACTTCATCCAGAAGAGTTTCGATGTAAGCATCGCTGAAATCAATTGAAAAATCACAGCGGTCAAAGTGGGTGACCAGTGCTGCAGCACTACAACCCAAATCACGTTTTTCTGTAATGCCTTGCAGTTCAGATTGAGCCCGTTTGTTCTAGCTGACTGGCTTTTTCTTTGGAAGTGTGAAGCTCAGCATTTTCAGAGCAGTGTGAAATAAGGAATGGAAAAAAAGGGCTTGGAGCAGTGAGGTGGCTAATTGAAAAATGCTATTGGAGCCGTGCTTCCGCACAAAGAAACTGGCAGGTTTTTATGAGCAAGTCGCTTCAGAGGCGAGTTTTGATCTAGAATTTTCAATGATTCACATTTAGGTTTTCATAGCAGCTTTTTAATAAAAGCGAAAAAAAAAAACAACACACCACCTCCTGTTGATTGCTATAATGCCTAAGTGTCTGTGACTGTCATCTTAAAAGCAAAGGTAGAGAAAGGAAGGGGCTGCGAGGCCCGGGAGTACCCAAGTGTGTTATCCTGGTGTATTGCTCTCTTCCAAGTGAGATGTCCTGAACTCAGAGCCACCTGAATGCCGAGGATCTTTGTTCTTCTCTTCATTTTGCTTGGACAGCTGAAATATGTCTCTGTGGTCTCTGTAAGCAGTCCTCCCCCAGGTTTTATTGCCGGTGCCGTGCGGGTCGTTGGTGAGTTGTTGAATCCGAGAGGCAAAAGCAGCCACAAAACCTCGTGATGCTTACAGCAGAACAGCTCGCTAAGCTGCAGCTGGGAGCAGAGATGTGATCAGCTCATTCAAGAGCTTCTCCTCCCTTGTTGAGCCAGCGTGTGTGTTTTGCATGGCTCTGCAAAACTTTTTTTTGTCTCAAAAGACCTTCGCACGTTCTCTGACAGCGTTTTGGTTTGACCTCAGCTGGTGGGAGAGAGCTCTGCTGAGCTGAAGGGAGGGCAGCCAGCAGGATGGGAGTAAGAGCTGCGAATACTGTGCCTTGTCCTGTTCCCTGTCACGTATTATGCAGTGAAACGTAACACATCTGACCCTTTGATTTGCTAATTTCAGTCTTGAAGCACCCCTGGTAAGCAGCTGGGCTGTTAACAGACAAGGCAAAGATTTCAGATCCGCAATCTTCTGAAATTCCAAGAGCAAAGGAAAAGGAGGTTTTGTGCCACTTGAACACCAGAAGTCAGATCCTAGCTGTCGGAGGGGAGGGGAATAATTGGAAATCAGAACTTGAGTGCTTTTGGATCTCTGTAACAGCATGCATCGCTGTGCGTGTTTCTTGCATAAACAGGAGGTGTTATTTTTTTTTTGTGAGTAATTCTTTCCCAAGCGTATAAATCAAGAGTCTCTGAAGCAACATCTGGAAAAGTCTCAGGAGAGAAAGCTGTGATTTCTCCGAGCACAGAGCTCTGCTCATCGAGGAGGTTCCGATACGCAGACAGCAAACACAGCTCCCATGTTTTCGTTTGATGCAATCTGTAGCTCGCGCAACGTTTGAGTTTTGCCTTTTCCTTCAGGACCATTATGCAGCACCACTTCCTGATGCTTCCAGATAGACCTTTCGGAGAGATTTTCACCCCAGCCATGCCCGCTGTCATCATTCAGCACCGAGTAGCTGCTCCCAGGGCTTCCAGCAGGGCTTTACAGCCGTGCGTGCTAACGCATGTGCACACGCGGTGTCCAAGGTCTGCAGCACGCTGGGCGTGGAGTGCCAGGTTGTCTTTCTCTCTACCACAACACTTGGGCTTTAATTTGGGGGAATGTGCTGGGAACTGAGAGCGTCCCGTTTCGGAGAGCATCCCCAGCTGTGGTGCTGGGGGCTCTGCACTGTGAGATGCCACCTCCAGCCCTGCAGCAGCGACAGCCCCAGGCATGGGAGCCGTGCTCCCTTGGGAAGCCACGCAGGGCACCCCCAGCAGCCAGGCTGGGAGCTGCCAGCCCTTGTCTTCTGCAATTAAACCACGCCAGAAACCCTTCGGTTGTGTTCGGGGAGCAGCAGAGAGGGCTCCCGCTGGGATTTTTCTTCCCTTGTCTGATTTGACATTTCGTGCACCACCCTGGGATTCCTTTGGTCGTATCTCAGAGCCCTGGTGGGAACGAGTGCCACTGAGATGCCTTTTAATGAGGCTGAACTGGTGAGGAACTGGTGATTGTGCACAATCAGTATTTGCATGCCACTCCTTCGCAGTTCTGCGCTGGTACCCGAAATGTGATTAATTTTGTCAGTCGTATCTATTTGCTGGCTGAGGAAAAGCCTCAGAGGGATGCACGGCTTCTAAAATGTCCGATAGATCCTGGACAGGTTATTGAGTATTTTTAATTTACTGCGTTTTAGATCTGCTGGGAGGGTTTCTCTTAAGGAAGAGTGCAGGCGGAGCCGTTCAGTGTTTTCTGGGCTGCAGGAATTCATCTCCGCGCGACGCTGCGCGTATCAATCACTTTCATTAGCTGCGTTTTGTTCTGGTAATGTACATAAAGCTTTATTGCCGGAGAACGTGATCTGCCTTCACCTCCGTGCAGTCCTTGCTGCTTAGCAAAACATTGTAGTTAACATTAAAACCCCCTTAATATTCAGAGATAAAAAAAAAAGTTGCTGCATCTGCTCCGCTGGGGAAGGTGGTCACCAAAGCCACGAAGGATTTATGGGCACAGGGTTGCAGAATGAGAGCTTACGCCTTAAACAGAGGGTATTCCTTAAGCTGGGCATTTGATTTATTTCCTTAATCTAAAACTATATTAACGAATTTGTGTGTTCTTGACAGCGTTTGACATCAGGCAGCGACTTAGCAATATTCATCGTCTCTGCTTCTGCTATAATCGCTTCTTAAAAACGAGCGTGGAAAACGCTGATCCTGCACAAAGTTGCGCTAGCAGCCAATTCATTCATTGCTCTTGTAAAGCCCATTTAGTTAAGGTTTATTTTGACAAAATGTGTCCGTGGCGCTGCTCCGTGGCTAAAAATCGGGCTGTGATGGAGACAGCAAGGTGCCGAGATGCTGCTGCGGGTAGGACGGGACCTGTGGTCCCCAATGACCTCGATTCGCATTTCCCATCAGAGATCTGGGAGGGACAGCGAAATCCCCTGTTCCCAGAAAGTTTGCTTACCTTTTAATTCTTTTTTTTTTTTCTTTTCTTTGCATTTCTGTTCTTTAGTTAGCGTAACGTGTGGGGGAGACCGCGTGGGCTCAGGACGCACGGTTGTCTTTTTGGAAATCAGCTCTTTTTTCCCCGCGGGTGCTTTGTAATTCGGAACAAGAGTCGGGAGCTAATTTTAGTCTCTTCTCCGCCGACGGAGCCCACGAGCACTTGTCATGTGTAGCAGCTCGTCCTTTGCAGCGTGCCTGACCCAGATTTGCCGCTGCGCTGCTCTCAGCTGTCACAAAGGAGTTAACCGACGGCGGGGAGGGTTCGTGTGCCGTCTGCCCGAGCAGCTTTACGTAGCCGGGAAGAGCTCCTCCAGACCCAAAGCAGAGCAGGCTGTCAGCTCTGCTTTCGTGAAGAAAGGCAGCGTGCTGCACCGAGGGAGTTTCTCTTTGCCCGAGTGAACCCTGCTGGGATGTGCTGGAGGAGCCAGGGAGCTTCGCAGCCTCCCTGCGGGGTGAGCCGCGTGCCGTGCGAGTGGTGAGCCCGGAGAGCATCCCTCGGAGGCCTTTCCCATGGCCTCTCCTCCAATTTTGGGGATGAACGGCTTCTTTTCGGCACCCTCCGCTTGGATTTTGCGTGTGCTGTCACCGCTGTCCTCGGTGGAGCTGGGTGTGCTGGGGACAAGCCACCCAAACCCGAGTTACCCGGAGACGTTGTCTTCTTTGCAGATAACATCCCATAATTAGGGCCTGCGGGCGTCGATGTCCTCAGCCGCAGCGATAAAAATGTTAATGGAAAAAAGCATTGTTGGTAAACAGAAAAAGGGATGTGTGAAGTGCTCGGAGCCTGGCGCTCTGAAACAAAATCTGCCTGGTGCTGGGGACAGATTGGGATGGGATGGGAAGACAGAAGGGCGGTTGGAGAAGGTGGTACCTGGGGCTTTGTTTCTGACTTGAAGCATTTAGAAATCTTTTCTCGGTTTATTTTACATTAGAGAGGGGAAAAAAGCCAAAAAGCCTTTGTTTGCCTTAATTGGATGCCAGGCATCTGCAGAAAACCCAGACTAATTAGGAAGAGAAGGTCCTTTTCAGGTTAAAGCTCCCCTTTTGAGGTCTCCTGGGCCACAGGCTTCACACTGAACTCCGCAGCCTTTCTATTTGCAGGTTGGGTTTGAATGCTGCCAGCGAGAAGCACGAGGAATTCAGGGGATGTTCTGGGCACCGCTCGACAGAAACCTATTGATTTAGAAGGAAATCCCAAGGAGGAAATAGTTCTTGTCAACTGCCTGCTTGAAGTTACGGTTGCGCTGCTCTTGCAGTCGCCTATAAATTAAACTCCCAGCAGTTGGCATCTGCCACTGTCACAGTGCCACGGGTCAGCCTTCCCCCAGAATTAAATGTGATGCCCGAGCGAGTTACCTGCCGTGCGAGCAGGGAGGATGCAGCTGGGAGCAGTGCACGGCCCCGTTGTGGTTAGGGGATTGGGGGCACGGAGTGAGACAGAGGGATTCAGTGCTCAGCCCCCTGGCGAGTTGATATCGAGGGGCTGTGGCACAGGAGTGAAGGGTCCTGGGCAAAAAGGGGTGCCCAGGGTTGGTATTGAGACCCAAACTGTCGTGTGCTGAATGTTCTCACGTGCTGGTGGGTCTTTCCTACTGAAATTCTGGGTTTTGCAGTCCTGTCTCCACGTTGCTCTCTCTTTCCCATTGATCCATGTGAAATATATATATATATATTTTTTTTTTTCTTTACAGAAAAGGCCACAGATGGCTCTCTGCAGAGTGAAGACTGGACACTTAACATGGAGATCTGTGACATTATCAACGAGACAGAAGAAGGGTATGCTCTGTTTCAGCCTGCTTTGAAAGGTTCATGGGCAGTCACCTCCCGTGTTGTTTTCAGCACGTGAGGAGGTGCAGTGAGTCTGGGGCAGGTGCTCATGGTTTGCATACAAGTTGTTTGATTCTCCTTTTCCTTACACATTTCAGAGAAGTGCTGTGAGCTAGGTCTCTGCTTGGGAGGGCTGGCATGAAAAACATTTTGTTGGACCGGGTACCAAGTTTGTGCTTCTGGGGTTCTTGTTTTCGGCAGGTGCATCTCTTCCCGGTGTGGCAGTGTTATTAATTTGAGCCACTTGAATAGAAAGCTTCTCTGATACATCTTCAGCATCAGAAAAGCTGTGCTTCTTGCAGTTTGCCAGAGAACTGGTGGCTGTGAAAAGTGTGTGAGAGCTTTCTAACAAGACGTGTTTCTCCTTCAGCCCTAAGGATGCCATTCGAGCACTGAAGAAGAGGCTGAACGGAAACAAAAATTACAGAGAGGTCATGCTGGCTCTGACGGTGAGTGGAGGCAGGCTGGAATGCCTCTGAAGAGCAGATCCCTTTTCTTTGGTCACTTTGTTTTTTTTCCTGGGACTCTCCTGAATGTGCCCACTCTTTGCTTTAACAGTCACTGCTCTGCCCTTTTCCCTCCAACTGCCTCCTTGCTCCCTTGACAGGAGTTACTGGAAGCTTCGCATAGCATTTTCCTGACTCAATTGATTTCTGCTTTTGTCTGGGCTCTTACCCACCCCAAGTACTGACTGAGGAAAGTTGAGCAGCCCAAATGGGTCCGTACCCTTTGGGGCTTTCTCTTCTGCTTCCATCCCCGTATGTCCAACTGTTTCTCCACCCCAAGACAACATCTGTGGGCATATCTCCAAGTGATGATGATGAACTCGCCGTATTTTCAGCTCCTAAGTAGCTGACGCGCAGTTTCCCTTGTGAGCGGATCTCTGTAGGAGACTTATTAATTTATGCTGATCTAATTTCCCTCAATAAAGTGTAAATCATATTCTGTGCGTTTGCAGCGGCACCGCTAAGGTGTGAGATAATTTGCCAGTGACCTTTCCTCCTGATGGCTGGAGCTGGGCTTTCCTGGGTAGTGCAGCTCTCCAGAAATCATGGTGTTGGGCAGGCTCTGCACCGCAGCGGGCTGAGGAATGAGCAGCAGGAACTAGATGGAGTTATGCTGCTGCGGGCAGGTGATCTGTATGGTTCTTTCACACAGCTCTTGTTGCATCTCCCTGATGAAGCGTGACTGTACTTTCTGTCTTCTTGCTATTTCCTATCCTGGATTGTCATTTTGACAGATTACCGAGGACCAAGCCATGAGATTAGCCATTGCACAGGAAAGAGCAAAATTCATCAGGAATGAGTCCGTGTCATCAGGGCTGATGAAAGTAGCTGAAGGAGCAGAGTAATTACAGACTCCTCAGATAGAGAGTTGCAGCGGTTATTAGGCATGGCTGTGAGGAGAAGTGACGCAGTGGATTTATCTCCATGCTAATCATGTTCTTCAGAGAAAAATCAACAGCTGTTCCTCCATGGCAGTTGAATGGCAAGTGGAACGTGCCTCCAGCTAGGTTGCAGGGGGAAAATGTGTCAAAGTATAACCTGCCAGAGCATTCGCAAGGGAGTGTTTTGAATGAGTGGAGATCATTCACCTGAATTCCCAGCCCGAAAACATGACTTGTAGCTCAGAGCAACTGGATCCAGCTGTGTCCCAGGTACATAGACAATGGTGGAGTGTCACAGCACGGTAATATCTCACGGTGACAGGATGTCCTCTGTCTTACCCGCTCTTGATGTGATGTGCTGTATTTAGCTGCTGAGCTGTGCAAGTTGGAAAGTTTTGCTTTGAAGAGGAAAAAACTTTATATTTCTTTACCTTGAAAACAAGCAAAAGTGGATCACAAAAGTGCCTAATGTATTAACGATAGGTGAGCTATGTAAAAATGTGTGAGAAGGAAGCTTTTTGGCAATATTAGGGAAGAAAAGATGAAGAACTGAGAATATAAGACTAAATTTTCCTCTACCTTTTTCTCTCTCCCATCAAAAGATATAAAACAAAAACAAAATCAGAAGCCAACCACATAGCTGCTGTGTGCGTGATCAAGCTTTGCTCCAACAATAAATGTTTTTTTTTGTGTGTGTGTAGGTGTTGGAGACCTGTGTGAAGAACTGTGGCCATCGCTTTCATGTCTTAGTGGCAAACCGTGACTTCATAGATGGCGTTCTGGTGAAAATCATCTCGCCCAAGAATAATCCCCCCACTATTGTGCAGGATAAAGTACTAGCGCTGATTCAGGTACGCAGCTTGTCTCTGCTTCCATATGTCGCTGCCTGGAATAAGGACTGTCTGCTTCGGTGCTACGCATCGCTAAACATGCTGTCATCATTAAAAAATGTAGCAAGATTTTTACATGTAAAAACAAACAATATCTCCAGATTGGCAGGGAAGAGCAGACAGGCACATGCACAGAAATTGTAGCCAGGGAGAAATGTCTGGATTCTAGTTAGAGAGAGAGCACTCTGCTTGAAAACAAGAGGACTTAATAAAAGATAAGTGGATGGCTTTGCAATTTAACAGGCAAATCTAGGAGCTGGAGACCTGCTCCTGTGATGGGCTTGTCATCTGAGGCCAGGAAATTTTAGAAGACAATTGTGCTCTTGCTGTTAGTTGAAAAACACTTGCCTTTCTGTGTCTGTTCCCCTGAATATAAAACAGAGCCATTCCTCTTCTTCACAAAATATTCTGAATTCCTTTTAAAGATGGCTACAGGAAAGTAAATGATCATATTGCAGATAAAATGTTTTTTTTGTGTCCGTTCTCTGGTTATCTTGCAGTGAAAGTGTGCTGTCAGATCATTGTCTGCAGCAGGGCCGTTCAGGCATAGGCCTGCCTGCCACTTTTCCTTCTGTGCAGCATAACAATAAACAGCCATGTTAATTCCACAAGCCATTAGCAACACATGAGGAAACATTGGTGCCTGCCTGGAGGAAATTTCACAATTATAGGAAGCTTTATCACTAAGCTCCTACAGGCTATTGCATACAGCAGAGATTAAAAGACACTGCATATTTAAAATTATGTAAACCTGCTGCAATGTTTCTTGTGGGATGGTATTTACAAACACATAGCATAGTTTCCTAAATATATTTCAGATTTTTGTGGCAAAGCATGCAGTTGCATTTCTGCTGGTTTATTTGTTGTTTGGGTACACAGGCAGGACATTGTTGGAGCATGACAATGTAAATAAGTGATTTCCAAAGAGGAAACAGGCTGGGTGGGGACACAAGGTGTGCATTTCACTGGGGCACGTGGGGTCCCTCTATTTCTGGCCTCTGATCTCAATGTTGCACTATTATAAAGAAAGAAAAAACAAAAGCCTTAATGAAATCATTAAAAATAATTCTTGTGGATGTGACTGAGCCCTCAGGCTCCTGCCTGCTCGGGTGTGAGAGCTGATGCATGGGGTGATTGTCAATGCTGTCCCATAAGGAGAAATTTTGTTCATGTTTCCATGCTCGTTGCTCTTCTACACTGATTTAGAGGATATTGGTTACTCTGAGTCCTGGTATTAATGGAACTAAGATGGAGGTGTTTGTAGCATAACCAAAAAGCCCCAGTCCTTCCCTCAGTGTTTAAGATTAAGCAGAGCTTTATCTGAGCAGACGTAGTGCAGCACAGCTAAAAGCCTCGCTGCGTCCGGGTACTAAATGCCTTTTGGTACAAAAAGCCTGGGAATTAGGAAAGTTGCCTGTGGATGGGTCTCATCTGCCCTATGGACATGTGCACCCGGAGTGTCCAATATGTCATAACCACTTTGCTCAGCTCAGGCTTTGCTCGTTAGAGCTCCCTGCAGTTGGAGGTACTTCTGTTCCAGGGGGGCTGAGCTCTTCTCAGCTCTGCTCCTCTAACATTACATTTATCCCCTTCTGGAGGCTTTTTACAATTTGATATCAGGGAATTAATACGAAGAGAAAGGAGGGGATTAATAACACAGACTTGGAAGCACGGAAAAAGGCTGTACAACCAGCACAAGTCTTCAGCCATATAGCTCTTGTACTCCCGGGCCTTTCCCTAGCAGGAGGAGATAAAGCTCCATGCAATTTCTTATCTAGAGACTTGCCTGTTTTGAGACATTGGGCATCTTGTGTCTCACTTTCCCACCCCATTTCCCAGTGTACGTGAATTAGCATGTATTAGTGTTTATCCTTCCTCCTTCACCTTGATAAAAGGCCTCTGTTCCTTACTGCTGTGTCCCTGCTCAGAGCTGCCATTATCACCTCAGAGTTCGCACCACCTTGGTGCCACCTTGCTGGGCATCAAAGATGAAGCCCGGGGAGATTTTTTAGTGGCATGGCATTCTTTTGAGTGTCTGAGAATTGAAAAAATGTCTCTCGATGGCACTGATTCGGAGGCTCGGTTTGCAATGTATTTAATTAACCTTTTTGGGCACACAGAGTGCCCAGTGAGGCCTAGACAGCAGCGTCCTGAAGCGCCTGTCTTCGATCGTCTGGCCCAAAGCCTCCGAAGGTCTCAGATCTCAGTTTCAATCTCACCTCTGTCATACGCTGCTTTGGACAATGGCAAGCCTAAGCTCTCCGTGTAGCTCCTTATCTGTAAAGCAGAGCTAATATTACCTCTGCCTCGTTGAATTGTAAGCTGTCTGGGACAGGGATTGTCGAACAACGCGTGTGGCAGCGCTTAGGACAACGGTGCCCAGTCCTGGACGTGACCTCCACGAGACGTGTAGGTACAGATAACCTCCCCAGCTCAGGCAGGTGAGAAGTACAAATTCAAGTGTCTCCTTTCTCCAGCAGAGTTGTAGGAGAGGGAATATGTTAGAAAGGTAGAGTGCAGATGAAGTTCTGTCCTTAATGCCCAGGGAAGCAGGCGATGCATTAGTACATCCTCCTGGGCCAGCAAGCCTCGTGAAAGGAAGGAGCAGGCTTTTGCCTCTACGTTTCTTCTGAGTGACGATTAAATAAAACATCCCTTGCTGAACATTTTTCACTCTTACTTGCAAATAGAGTTGAAGTGGGGAGCACCATTATGGAGAAGCAACGTTCAGATGACTCCTGACATAAATTGATAATGCAGAGTCGGTGCGAGAGCAGAGAGGTACCTGCGCAGTGAATGTCTCCGTGATAATTAGGGACGGTTTTGAAGGTCACTTCCAAGAAAACTGAATGGCTCATTGCAGTCCGAGCTGGTTTCCATGGCTCACATGGGGCTGTTTGGACTTGCGCTGCATCAGAACGTTAATTTACTCGAGCAAAGCTAAGAAGCAAACCCAGAATTGTTAGCTCGCAGGCGATAATAGGTTGTCTCCTGAGCACACAGGGTAGGAAATGCTCTTAGAATAGAACAAATTACAATGCACATTAAAAGTTAATATTATTTCTTATCTTGTTTTGCTACCTTTGATTTCTCTCCTCTTCAATACGAAGCAGGGTTTAAAAACAGCTTTTAAAATAAAAATAGTCAAAGAACTGGTGTAAAAGGGATGACTAAATGAATTAAGTTCGGAGCCCACACACATCTCTCAGTAGTTCTGGAGCCAGCCCACTTCTACTCTACCTCACAAACGGGGGAACGCTTCATTTTTAATTGAGTTAAAAATAATTGAGTTAATATTGCAGTTTTTCCTTCCCCTAAATTGTTAATACCTGGCAGATTTCCAGAAAAAAAAAAAAGAAAAGAAAGGGGGTAGACTCTTTCAGGATGTTACGTTGTGAACAGCTTCATGAGTACGGGAGGCTGGCTGGCGAAGAGAAGCACTTAGTGCTCCTGGTGAAGGAAAAGCTCAAATATGAATTGAAGTCTTTTTAGACACGAGAGGGCTCAAGCAGGAGAGATACTACGAGTGTTCTGGTTGTGGGAAATTCTCCCTTTAAGCTTGCTCTTTCTGACACTGCGGGGTGTCTTAGTGTTGGATATGCTCCATAAGAATACGGGCTTCATTAGTTCTGCTGCTCGTGGCACTGCATGTTTTGCGATATAAGAACCTCAGAAACAGCCCTTTTTATTTAAGTTTGGTCCAAATAAAATACTGACAAAAACTTGACAGCTGTGTTTTTTTCTTCCCCGATAGATGAGGATGTTTCACAGAATAAATTAAGGTTATGTAGGATTGGTGTGTGACTTCATAAATTTTGCCTAGATCGATTTAATCTTTCATGCAGGCTTTTTTTTTGGTGGGTCATTGGCCACAGGATATGAAGAAAAGATCAGCATGCAATCAGTGCTACGGAGAGGAGCTTGGAAGAGGCTTTCACATGCATTTATAGATCCTGATGAAGCGGGGCTGTACGAAGCTAATGTGCACTGGGTTGCTGTCTGTGTTACAGCCATATAAAGTGCCTACGTGACTGTCTTGATAACATTTTTAGGATCTTTCAGATCAGGTTTAATGATTACAGTTTCCCTTTGAGGCTGAAATATGTGAAAGCTTTTGTAGTTAGTACCCAAGGTCAGGATGTATCAGGAACTTCACTGGGAAGGTTTGTGGATAATCCCTCGTGTTTTCCAGGCTTGGGCTGATGCCTTTCGAAGTAGCCCTGATTTAACTGGAGTAGTGCATATTTATGAAGAACTCAAGAGGAAAGGCATAGAGTTTCCCATGGCAGATCTCGATGCTTTATCTCCAATCCACACACCACAGAGGGTAAGTTGCAGCATTGCAATGCCACGGGCATTTTCCAGAGACGTGGAGATAGTTGGGTAACTGTTCTTTTTTCTCCTCCTGTTTTTCTGAATTGGGCTTATTTTCTCACTTCTGAAAAGACCTTTTTATAGTGAAGGGGCATGTAATAGAAGCATAATACAGCTGCATTTTGACTGGTTGATAAAGTAATGGTTTCTTCTCCCTGGAGTCAAGCATCAATCTGAAAAGAGCTTTGAGGTTTGTACACTTGTCTCGTACCACAAACCCACCAGATAAATGCAGCTAATTTGCTCAAATAGAGAGCAGAAGGATATGTGATTCAGATTTGCTTCCTTTTCTCAGTGCTCTACTTGTTTTTGTTAGTGATAAGCCTGAACCAAAGCCTGTCTTTTAAAGGTGTACAGAGTCTGAATCTCCCACTGATCTCATGGTAACATGAGGTCTTTATACCTTTGAACAGTTAGGCCTGTAAAGTTGACAAAACTGCTGCTAGTGAGTAACTTTATGATCACAGGTGTGCTGATTATTCACCCTGAGAAGTTAATGAGTCTTTGAAGTGGTAAATGCAGATGATCAGGGCTGAAAGATTGCAATCCTTGTGTCAAGATCAATTAAATCCGGTATCTATTTATCACATCATCTTTTGTAAGCCTGCAGTTTAATTCCCAGTTTTAAATTATTTACAATTATTTATCTTTAGCTCCTGTTTTTATGTTTCTTCTCACTTTTCTTGTAAAGATAAATCAACTTAAATGCACGTGGGTTGGGTCAAAACATACGGGCATGCATTTTTGTTGCAGCTGGCTGTTGATGGGCTGGCCTGCTAGTCTGTTTTCATGACTACACTGACCTTTTCCACAAGGTACAATTATGTTCTATATTTGAGCATATCTGGCCTGAGGTTGCTGACAAAGCAAGTGCCGTCACCATTCAGCTTTTGAACTCTTGTCTTTCTGATGTGGCAGAGTGTTCCCGAAGTTGATCCTGCAGCAAATATGCACAATTCACAGTCTCAGCAAAGGATGAGCACCAGTTCTTACTCTTCAACTTCTCCAACGGCGTATTCTGCTCCTCAGGCTCCAGCTCTGAACGTGACTGGTCCCATCACTGCTAACTCTGAACAGGTATTGGGATGATTATTCTTCTGAGTGCGACTAAGCAGATCAAATTAAAAGCTAGTTTGCAGAGGAACTCTGGTTTTAACTCTTCTGACTTTAATTGCCTAAGAAAGTCTGGTTCTACTTAGTAATCTTTCCTCCTATTGTGCTGTAAAATCTAGGGTTATTTGTACATGTGGCCTCCTAATGGCAGCAGTTATGAAACCTCAGTCTGATACACCAATCGACACAGCAGTTGTGCTGTAGGTAAACAGTTACTCCCACGAGCCCCACGCCTTCAGAGGCACAGAATGTCTTGCAGATGCACTAAGTCTTTCTGACAAGGACTTAAGCCTGCATGCCTAAGACCCTAGCAAATGCCCTAATATAAGCTCAGCTTTTCTCTGTGCAAAAATAGTAACTTCAGAGCCAAAGATCATGCTCAAAAGTTGTATAACTTTCCCCATATTTGAGTGAGACACACAAGGTATACTGCAACCAAAATCTGTTTTTAGCTGCTGTTTCCAATTACTTCCCTTCCATACGAGCGTAGCACATCTGGCTTTGTGATAGTGACCAGTCCTACAAAGTTCTTTTCTTTTTCTGTTGCTTTTTCTAAAACTGTCTCCTGGGTAAAAGGTTTTTTGCCTCTAACTTTTTTTTCCCTCCAGTAGAATACCCAGAGCTTCCGATATTAAGTCAGACAGAACCAGATGTAGCACAAAGTCAGTTCTGGAAAATCATCTGCTTAAAGCCACAAGACTGTGTAGCATCTTGCTGTCTTTTTACCCCAAAATAGATTGCCCGGCTGCGCAGTGAACTGGATATTGTTCGTGGGAATACAAAAGTGATGTCTGAAATGCTGACAGAAATGGTACCTGGACAAGAGGATTCCTCAGACCTTGAGTTACTCCAGGTAATGCTTCCCTAGCAGATACGATTCTGATCCTTTCCGTGCTTGAGTGTTTTTTGAGGGGGTGGCTTTTGTTGTAGTTCACTTCAGTGCCTTGGCTTGCTTGGTTTACATAACGAATTTGGGCTGTGCTTGACCCCAGTTAGTCTCATCACTTAATGTTCTTCGTTTATTAAAGCTTCTAGTGACAAGGATTTCCTAACTTCCCTTGAAACCTGCTCCAGTGCCTTCTTGCCCATGTAGCTCTTTTTTCCTAATGTTGAACATAAAGTCGTCTTTACCACAACACAGCCTAAAATTGCCATAGGCTCAGTAAGCACTGAGCGTTTCTGCTGCTTTCAAGTCCTCTGTCATCACTCATGCGATGGTAAAGCATTTCCAGTCACTGCAGGAAAGAACACTCCGTATTTCCAGCTGGACTAAATATTGCCAAGGGTCTGTGGATTCTCTGCATCTCGAAATATATGAACTCTCCCTCCAGATGTGCTGTAGCTTCTCCTGAAGCCAGTGGCTTAAGGCAGGAGCTCAGCTGAAGTTTCCTGCTGTCCAGAGGGTTTGATGGGGTACCCAGAAGGGTTTTATTTCCTGGAAAGTCTCAATCCAGAGCTGTATTTATTATCTCAGAAAACTGTATTAGTTGAGCTCTTGGGTCAAGCTTCATATCTGCTTCCCCAGGCTGGTGGTAGCGGGGTGCCCTTGGCTGAGGAACAAATGCAGCACAGATGAGGAATACTGTGATCTGGCATTCCAGCTGCTGCTCTTAACGTGGTATTTGCCTTTCCATAGCTTCAGAAATAGGCTGCTGTTTTGATCCTCCAGCAGGGAGGATGGGCTCCCACAATAGTACATTTGGAGGGAGGCAGGGAATTGCTCTCTGTGATACATCAGAGCTTGAAATCCATCCAAAAGCTGGTCTCTCCCATGCAGCGGTATTGTGTGTTTGTCTCAGAGCCACGATGGCATCTGATGAGAGGCTTTGCAATAAAGAGCCTTTCAGTTCCTGCCCATTTGGGTTGGACTGCTCAAAGCAAAAGAAGCTTCCAGGAAACCATGACAGACCAAAACCGTGTAGAACGGTTTGCTTACATTCAGAAATAACTGCTAACATCTTGACAGCATAAGCTCACGGCGTAGCTCTAAGGTTAAAGAACTTGATCGTAAAATGGAGCGACAGCAGCGATTCTTCCTTCCAACTGGTTCCCTTCGACTGATGCGTCCTAAATCTGAATCACAGAGCTGGTGAGAACCCGTTTTTTGATGACAAAGGGTGGTTAGTCTTTTGAAAGCTGTGAGCCGGGTGCCGTCTGCAAGGACTCCTTGCTTTGAGGTTTATATAGCCATCCGCCTTAAATAATTCCTGACATTTTCTCCAACAATCAAATGTAAACAGCTTGCTAGAGAGCCAGCTCTGAGCAGAATAGATAGGTACTGTCAGCCCTCTCGGAAAGGCAGCAAACAAACCTCTGAAATGTCACAATCTGCTTCTAAAGTGATGGGATCAAAACTGACATTGGAGAACACATTCTTCAAGCTGTTAAGGCAGCTGGATTGCACTAGGTGAAATTTATCCAGAGCTTAGGATGTCAGACCAAGCAAGGAAAACAAACACATTTTTGCTTTCATCCCGAAGGTTGTGTACCAACAAGTCATCCTTGTTTAGTGCTGAATTTTTGCTCTGAAGTGGAGCTGGGGGGGGCGGGAGATGACGAAGGGACATGCTTTAGTTGAAATGTCAGTGCTTATTGAAGTAAAACCGTGGGTCTAGTCAGTGGCGCCGTGCCATATGTCACGTTTCTTCTTGTAGTTCCTCCTCGACATACCAGTCAGCTCTGACCTTTGGTCTCGAGGCCTTTCAGACCAACAGTGGTAAAAAAAAATTCTGCTAAGTAATTGGTGATCAAAGAGATGTCCTGGAAGCAGGAGAACCCCTTCAGGCAAACTCACACCCAGGTTTCTTGGAATGAGAGACTTCTAAAATAAATCCCCTTACTCTGTATTCTTTTAAAACGTTCTTCTGAAACTTCCCACTGCCTTTTTGCCATCCTTGCCTGTGGGCTCACTCAGGTGATGGGAGTGTTTCTGTGTGCAGTGCAGTTCGGAGCGAGGTGCTCATCTTTTCATGCTCCTGCTCCTTGTAGTGTGTTCACCCTCATCTTCTCTGGCAAGTTCTGCGTCCCCAGCCCTTCTCTTCCAGCTGTGTAGCACACATTTAGCTACCTGTGGTAGCCCTGATGAACTTTTTTCCCCACTTGCTCTACCGCCTGCATCTTTTAGTTTTTGAGGGTGATGCCATCAAAAAGAGCAGATGGAGTTTTCGTTGGAAACTCTCTTCTGGAAAGCTGTTGTATTACCATGTTTTATTCTTAAAACAGATCACTAAAGTACAGTTATTTATTTTCTGAAGAGCTCAGAGTTAAAGAAGAATCAGGATGTTGAATTGTAAATAGGCTCTCAAGGTTTTATGCCATCGTCTCTTGAAGGGCATGTTTGATTAGATGTGCTTTTGGGTGACATTTAATCATGCAAAGATAGACTTGTCTTAGTGTTTCTCAGCTGGGGGATATGTTTGGCTGTGAACAGAGCTCAACTAAATCTACTTATTGCTAGCTGCTTATCAGAACGTGTGTGCACAATGCATTCTGTGTAGGAACTGAACCGAACCTGTAGAGCTATGCAGCAGAGAATTGTGGAGCTGATCTCACGAGTGTCCAACGAAGAAGTCACAGAGGAGCTGCTGCACGTGAATGATGATTTAAATAACGTCTTCCTCAGATACGAAAGGTGAGGCACCTTTTCTGTCAACTGTTTACATTTGTTCCGGGATTTCATTCAGCTGTTAAAGAGGGCAGTTGATGGAGATGGCCAACTGGGCCAATGGTCCAGCGTAACAAAAAAACACAGAAAGCATTCACAAAATCCTTCTGTTGTCTTTTATGGTAACATTCCGACTTCAGTTGTTGCTTTAAATCCTAAGATTTTTTTTTTTTTTGTCCTTGCAATTGAATTTTTGCAGGGACTGTCTGTAAAATGCAGGGCAACTTGGTGCAAAACTCTTTGAACTGGCGGAGACGTGAGCCCGTCCGTCCCTGCTGGGTGGTGCTGCACGAATGTAGGAGCTTGGGGCTGAAAATAGCACAACCCCGGCTGCTGGTTCCACTTTGCTAGCTTAGGCTCTGCACAAATGCTTGTGCTGCTTCCTGGCTCAGGGAGGCTCCTGTGAGCTCTCTCTCTGCCTTCTGATCTCTGAGCTTTCTCCTTTCAGCCCCGGTGCAGGGGGAGCTGCCTGATGCGGGCACGGCCTCCGTGCGTGTAAGGCTTTTGTTTTTAAAGAACGCTGAAAATCTTGAAAAAGCCCGGCTTGTGCAGAGCTGGGCTTTTTGAAGAGCTGATCTGCAGGCATCATCCCCAGGGGCGGGACTTGGGTCAGAGGACTTTCAGCATGTCAGACAAAGGCGCTGTCAGCCACATCTGCTGCAGGAGGTGGCACGTGATGCGGCAGTCTTGGGAAAGTTTAATCTTCCCCGTAATGACAGGCCTGGGGAGTGAGGCACTAAAGAGTACCCTTTGTTCCTTGTTCTTAGCACAGGGCTTTGTTTCTCAAGCCTTTAAAAATAAATTAGACTCCAGATCTGTGAATCTGTGCTGTCACGGCAGAGGCTGGAAAGAAGGCTCTGTGGCCTCGATTCTGTCTTTGATTTAGCCCTTCAGAGGAGATCGGGGCAAACTTTGAAACAAATGCTGGCTTTTTGTGGGAGATGGCGTGCGTTTCATGCACGAGCGTAATTCTACAAGGGGCAGAGTGTAACTGTCACTGAGGCTTAGTTTGGTCACCCTTCATATTTTTTCCACCTCCCTCCATCTGCAGCTTTGCAGCCCGTAGCCGAAGTGTTTGTAATCATTGCAGACTGAGAGGTGAGCAGTGTTAGCAAGCTCTTCGTGGCGCAGCAGCTGCACTGGTCTGAGCCTTTCAATAAATCCCAGCTCCTCCTCTGTTGTTCCAAAAGCTCTGCATCCATCACACTGATTTCTGGTGTGGGTACCAAGCTCTGGCACTGGCTGAGGCAGGAGCTCTGGCCGTCGCTCTGGAGCTCTGGATGTAAAGGAACGTGTGCTTCATAAGCCTTCTGGTGAGAAATAGGAGGTGGGAGGTGTCGTAGGTTTCCAGTTCAGGGAGCTGGATTTCCAGTAAAGCTAGACACCCACGGTTTCCTAAAATTGAAATTTGGGCCTGGATTTGTTTTTGCTGCCTTTTAAGTCTGCATTTTCCTGTTACTTTAAAAAAAATATTTCAGTTTGCTTGAGATTCTCCACGGCATTTTGTTCATCTGGGAGAAAACCCAAAGGATTCAATGATTTTTTATTATTATTATTTTTTTACTAAATAGAGAGGTAATGTGTGAAATTACTTTTGAATGAGGGGAGAAAAAAAATCTAGCTTCAGAGAAATCATGATGCTTCTCCTGGTAAGGAAGGACAGAGTGGGCTCAGATGAGCCTTAGGAGGAGGTAGTTCCCTCTGCTTTTTTGAGCTCTTGAAGGCTGGGTTTATGTTTGGGGTCCCAGCTGTACGGCTGGAGGGGGAAGGAGCAGAGAAGAGACCAGATCTTGACTGGGCAGACTTCTTCCCCTAACAAGCGTGAGGTTTTTTATCCATCATCATTACTTCCTGGGAAGCACCAGCCCATTTGAACGTAGACTCTGACGATCTTTGCGCTGACCCAGAATGGTTTAAGAAATTATTTACTAAGTACTGCTGCTCTTGACACGAGCTGCCTGGATAGGGCCGTGCTGGCATGCGTATGGCTTCTAATTTACATGTATTGCAGCAAGAGGGAGCTGTTAAGTGGGAGTAAGACTCACTGCGGTGCTCAACTTGTTTAGCTGGGAGCATCAATCTTACTGCAGTTGCTCCTGTCCCTTGGCTAACAGGATAGTCTATCAAGAAGCACTTAATGAAAAAAGAAAAAAACAAAGACAAATCCTACAGTGTTTTTCAGGCATGCGTGTGCTGCAAGGTCAGATTAGTCAACTTAATATCCTCACTAGCGAGGATGCAACTCCTGTAGCTGTCCTCTCTTTGTCCTAGCTTGGACTTAAAGCTTTTAAAGTTCTCTTTTGAAGCAACGAAGGCTAAGTTCAGTCACAAGCATTTCACGACTTCGTTATAAACTTGCATTTTTCATTGTTTGTTGGTGACTTTAACAGTCCATGTTGATTTTCATTTATTTTTTTTAACAGATTTGAACGTTACCGATCAGGGCGTTCGACGCAAAATGCCAGCAATGGGGTAAGTACCTAGCTCCATTTATTGCAGCAGTGGTTACACCATACTAGCCATGCCAGATCAAAGTCCATCCAGCCCTGGGTCCTGCCTGTGGTGGTGGTTAATAGTGGGAACAAAGAGAAGAGCATAAGAATGTGGCAAACTTCAGGTGACACTTGTAGCTCAGGAAGACGCTGCTCTAAAACATCTCTGTGTTTACAATCCTTGATGGATTTTCTTTCATCTGTTGACTTTTTTGATTGCTTCTGAGTCTGGGCAGACTTCTGACATTCACAGTGGTCTGGTGCTAAAAGAGGTGGAGAACACAGACACATTAGATAAATCTGAAGAGATGTAGATTCCCTGCTGTCCTGAGCAGTCAAACAGTTCTTTACTGTCTGACCCTTTCTCTTCTGCACTCATCACCCTAGTACCCAAGAGAGGACTCCATTTGGAAGTACACAGGAAAGGTCTTTTTAGGAAGTAACCATTATTTTTGGGGGGTTAAATGTTGTACTGCAGGAATAAATCTCTGGCATGTGTAACTTACTGTGCTTTTGTGCCCCAACAGGTACTGAACGAGGTGACAGAAGATAATTTAATAGATTTGGGGCCTGGCTCTCCAGCTGTAGTAAGCCCAATGGTCGGAAACTCAACACCCCAGTCTTCACTTTCTTCACAGCTTGCAGGGCTTGGTGAGTACCTGATCTAAGCAGTGTCTATGAACACGAGGCTGCAATGCATGGATCTTTTCAAGCCTGAGCAGTCTGTGGGTCTTGAACAGCATGCTTGGGGCTGCTAGCAAATCCAGGTGTGTGAGTGTGGGAGCAGGTCTGAGCCATTGCTGAGATCCCTAATGTGAACTCTTCTCACAGTGGGATTTACAAGGAGCCATTTTCCTCTTTTAGCTGTGGATCAGGCAGCCTCCAGCCTCTTCTGGACAGTTGTGCTCAGCGCTACAACTGTTAACCAGATGACGTTTGTAGCTGCATTGTTAGTAACTTCCTCTCACAGTCACGGCAGCGGTGCTTGCCCGTGGTTTGCTGCTTCATTGGTTCGTTTCTTTTGCAGACTTGGGTACAAACAGCGTCAGTGGCACGCTCGGCTCCCTACAACACAGTAACCCTCGTGATGACTTCGACATGTTTGCACAGACGAGAGGCAGTTCCTTGGCTGAGCAGCGAAAGAAGTATGTTGGAGTTTGTCTTTACTGTTTGAGTCATGGCCCTGCTGTTTTCTAAGGTCATAAATCTGAAACTTCTTTGCTTTGCTCCAGACTGCAAAAGTAGTTTTGATGTATGTTTTTGTGCTTTTAATCCAGGCCTTATCCTGCTGGTCTTTATGAGTACTAGAAAATGGGAAAGTTCTTGCTTCTGGGCAGAGCAGACCGGCTGAGTAATGTTACTTGACCATCTTAGTGAGCTCACTGGAAACTTGGAAATGAGCTTGCTTTTACTTCTGCAGATGCTTCCTCTCACAAAAGCTTGTCACCCCGTCCACCCAGCCAGTGCTTGAGGTAGAGGAGCTTAAGGGTCCTTCGCTGAAGGTCATGGTGACTGAATTGCAGTCATCAGGGGCAGAGTTAATATCCAGTTAAACTCTCCCTTTGGCCCAGCAGCGAGACTCTCTCAGGATGTCAAGGCAGCGTAGCTTGCCCGGCTGCTGTACTATCTTTAATTTGTTTATATGTGAAGGGCTTGCATCTGCAGAGCTGCAAATCTGGCAATTTCATGGGTATTTAACAGGTCCAATTATTTTAATGTAAAACAAATCTGTGCACCTATTAAGAAATCCTTTGATCCTTGTCAAGTGAGATTCATTAAAAGACACTCAGGTATTTTTCTTTCATATGTTATTTCTTGCCTCCTCCTGGTTTCAAATTCGTGAGGACGTAGTGGCTACCAGCAGTCAGAACATCATTAATGTCTTGTCTCGAACCACGAAATGTTGTTAAATAGTTTAGCTCAGACCTTAACAGCTCTGGAAAACTTCAGCTGGCAAGCTTACTGCGATCTCTCATTTGCAGTCATGAGTAGAGCTGTTTGTAGTGCCTCAGCTGCAGTGTCAGTGTTGAGGAGATGTGCTCTGCTGTAGAGACACGCGTTACCACTGGAGATTTCAGGCTGAGAGCCCTAATGTGTAGTCAGAAAGGAGATGCATTGCAGAGAGATTTAATGGAGTTCCCTCTGTCTCTTGCGCTAAATGAAGCGCGAAACTAGCCTTCCCACACTGCACCTCTATCTACTTCTCGGAGCTAATAGAACAAGGAGCACGCGATTTCACAGGGGAGGATTGCTGTATCTTCCTTGGACTGTGCTCCGTGAGCAACAGCGAGGCAGTAAAGATGCGAGTGTGACATGCCACGATGCGTAGGTGAGAGCCTCTGGGTGCTGTGCTCAGAGCCTGGGAGAAGCCAGCACGCTGCAGGGGAAAGTGCTCGTCCTGCTCAGACCCACGGCTCCTCCTGGGGCAGATTTACGGGCAGGTGCTGGGCTTCAACTCCTGGTTCACCCCCTGCGCTCAGAGAAACGATATGGTTGCCTCTGTTGGCTGGCTGGTGCGTTTCCTTTTGAGGCAGCAACTTAAGGAGCTTTTTAAAAATCCAACCTCTGCAAACAGACGATGATTACCCAGCTCAGTGCACTTCTTTGTGCGCTTTGCTTTAGTTCTTGTTAGGTTTCACCTGTCTTCGAGTTTCTCTCTGCCTCCTCCCCTCCATGCGTCAAGGTCAGGCTTCCAAATGGCATCCTGAAAGCTCTGCAAAACACAGTCTGTAATCAGGCCTCCTTTCAGAGTCCCCTGCTAGCTGTTGGATGTGCTTATGGTGCCTCATAACCTATTTGCCTACCTTTCATGATGCCAATCTTGCTCTTTTTAATTCAACGAGCTCGCTGGAACTGATAGCCACTCTTTATACAGAGCACATTCCTCTTTTGGAATGCACTTAGCACACTTCAGGTCCTGTTAAGAAAAAGAACACGCTCTCTGATTGCAGGGGAAGTAAATCAGAGCAGCGTGTACGTTCTGCACGGGTGACTGCTGGACTTCCTTCTAGTTCTGGGGTTTGTTCCTTTCTTGCAGCGTGACATACGAGGATCCACAGGCTGTCAAAGGACTGGCGTCCGCCCTGGATGTTCGGAAACAGAACACAGGAGTGGTAGGTGGCTGCTCTGCGGTTCGTTTTCGGAGGCTGTGTGTGGAATCCAGGCTGGAGACAGCTGCTTTGACTGAGACTTCTCATTCTGTATTCCGGTGACGTGCTGGTACCGGCTATTTTGAAATTGATATCTATGAGCAAGCACTTGCTCAGTAATGATTTCTAAAGAGCTGCTACTTAGTACGCCAGCCTAAAAGACTTCAAAATGAGAGCGGGTAAATTGTCCTGCGTTCATGCAGCTTGCCTGGGGGGTCCATTTCTTTAACCGGAGTTGTTGCTGAAAAGAATAAGTAGGGAACATCGTGTCAACACTGGCGTGCATCTGTTTGCTTTGCTTTTTCTGATGAAAGTTGGTGCAGTCTTAATCTCTAGCCTTTGCTTGAAGTGCTTGGATACAAAAGCAAGTTACAGGAGGAGAAATCGTGTAGACTTAATGCTTCACATGCTGTGCCAAAGCTGTCCTTGCATGCAGGCTGTTCTGTCCCAGGGCAGGCTCCCACTGCCTCGTGTGGGCAAAAGAGCCCCCCAGGCTGCCTCATCACGCTGGATGATACCAGAAACGTGTCCTGGAGAGTGAGCTTGGCCCCTGTGTGCATGCCCCTATGAAGGCAGACGTGAAAAGAGCTTTTGGATCATCCCTCAACCCCTTTCTACCACCCTGCTTTTTTTTAGAACAGTTCCACTCTTTCATACCCAGCTGTGTGCAAGTTTTTAGATGGCAGAGCAAGTGCAGAGCCTTTCCCTAGGACCATCCTGGTGTGTGCTGACCACTAGGGAGCACGGGAGAGCCAGCGTAGCAGGGGAGAGGCAGCCTGCACACGCACCCTCCGAGGAGAATTGCCTCCCCATGCCTTGGCCGATCCCACCCTGGTTCTTTCATAAGTTGAAATGGGAGTGCTCTGGGCAGCTGGCACGCCTGGCAGCTTGTGCTGTGAGCCAGGGAGAGTTTTGTGCTTGGAGCCAGCTGGGGTCAGATCACAGCTGCCTGCCTGCCTTGGCCATCGCTCAGAGGCAGCAGGGCTTCAGCAGTGATTTCTTACGGAGCGCCCCCACCCAACAAACCTGCCTGCTTCTTGCAAAAAGGGTAATTTAGAGCCCAGGTCAGCCCTGCGGCCAGTTTCAAGCATGGTCCTGCAAAAATTCATGCCAAAAATTCATTCCTGAAGGAAAAGGGGGAAGCAAGCCTCCAGAGTCACTGAGCTGTGCTGCTGGGAGGGCATGGGGAAGGATCTGAGACTCTGCTCCTTGTTCCCAGCTAGCCAAAAGCAAGGGGCCTGCACTTAGCTACTGGGGCTTGGGGTCACCCCCGTGTTTATTAACACCCAGCTCAGCTGGAGGCACCGCTGTGACGTGTCCTCTGCACCAGCACAGCTGCTCTGCCCCGAGTGCTGTCAGTTCAAAGGGCTGAATCGAAGCTAATCTGATGGGTCAAAGTTTTTTGGGGACAAGCACTTCGTGGGTTAGGGAACTTTGGGCTCTGAGATGTCGTAGGGACTTTCAGCCTCTTTTCAAAGGTCCTGATGACTGGATCAGGTAATCGGAATGGCTTGTTTTGAAACGCAATCCTTGGGTAGTTGGTAAACAAGACTAGCGTTGTGAGGCTTGTGGGTGGCTCTTCTGAAAGGAAATAAAAAAACTAAACTTCCCTAAAGTTACCAGCCCTGGCATGTGTAGGAAAAAACTGGCAGCGCTCCCTAAATGAAAGACACGCGTTAATTTGGGCAGAGAGCTAATTTAAGAACAGCTCCAGGGAGGAGCCAAAAGCTTTGCAACGCATTCTTCGCACACGTCTTCTTCCAGCACAGTTGTCCAGTGCTAAATTTCAGCACATCCGACATTTCTAATGTAGTCATTCTCAGAAAGGTCTGTGGAGAGACGGCTGGTCACGTGGCATTAGCTGTCTTTTAATATGATTTAGCAGCTGGAAACGAGACGAGCTAAAAATATGCTGTTTTCTTAATATTGCTTTTCCATGTTGGGAATTGCTTTTGTTGCCACAGAGTTGTTGCGCGATCGCAACTGGGAGGAGAGGTGTCCAAGAAACAATTCTCCAGTGTTACGCAGAGAGTGGATAAAGTTGGAGTGATTTTCCCCCCCCCTTTTTTTTTCTTCTCCTAGCACAAGTACTGAAATGAGAGATACGAAATCACAGCTGCTTATCTGTTGTAATGGGGACAGGAGAGGCATCCCACGCAGGACAGGTAGCTGGGTGCAGGGACACAAACTCACACGTGGCTCTGCTCAGCCAGCCCCGTTTGGGCAGGACCAGAAAGCTGGAACTGCCACACGGTGCTGGTCCTGAGCAAGCCCCTCCAGAGCATCAGAGGTGGCTCTGTGCCCGCACCCCAGCTCGGGGACAAAGTGCTGGAGGACAAGAAGCCACCCTGAGAGCCCCTGCAGCGCTGTGCCACGCAGCCTGCAACCTGCACAGAGGGGCCAGGAGGCATCAGCAGTCCTTTAACCTCGGCTGGTCCTAGAGGTGGGCAGCCTGAACGACTGCCAGGATGCTTCTGCAGGCTGCAGAGGGGGATGCAGCTGCTGCCAGAAGCTACCACGGGGTGTGTGTGTGTTTGTGGGTGTGTGCACGAAGCTTTCGACTTGCTGTTATGTTACTTTATCACGGGTGTTGCTGTGGTTTCTCTCTTTATGGCCCTTTCTGTTCTCAACACAGAGGAGAGGTAAAGGTGGGAACTCAGACATGGAGCCCATAGACAAGTGGCTAATTACACAAGGAATGGTGAGGACTTCACCACGGAAGCGATTCCTCCTGCCCACCCCGCTCCCTTTACCTAGAATAACACCCTTCATTCACCTCTCATCCTGCCCTACTCAACCACTTGAAATCAGACAGCACAAGGAGTTTGTTTCCCACCTACATCCTTACCTGGGGCAAAGGGAAAATTTGCACCAATTTCTGGTTTGTACAGGACAAAGGCCTGTGAGCAGCCTGACCATTTGTATCATCACACACCACCTTTGGAAGAGGCCTGGGGACCAAATTGCTTCCTTGTACTGTCTTGATTTATTTATGCAGTATCCACTTTTCGAGGGATAAACACAAGTCTCGTGCAGCTTGTTCATAAAGGGGACACTTTCTAGGTGCCTTTAAAGCAGCCTCTTCTGGTAGTGCCTAACTTTGTGGTCTGGAAAAAACAGCTATAGGTTGTAGGATCGTGTTTAATTGAACTAAATAACGCAGGGGTACTTCTGTATGAAAAGAAGAGAATGGGAGAACTATGACCCAAATTGACATCTTCCACCCCAGGCAGGGAATTAAGGCATTAGGATTCAGACTCCAAAAGGTACAGCAGAGTTTCTGGCTTCAAGGGTTTAATTCCTGTGCCTGATGATGCCAGCGTTCTGATAAAATCACGCTTCTGGAGATCTGTCTCCAAATCTGTGCACATCTGACCTTGTTTGAAGTCGTCCTTTTTCAACATGCTTGGAGAGAGAAGTTGGAAAGCGTGCTTTAAGTGCAGAAATCAGAGAGGTAGGTTAAAAAATAGCCTCTGCCCTGCCTTAAAGCCAAGTTCCAAGACCAATTTTGTATTTTTGGACTACATAATCCATCATTTCAAGTGTCTGAGAACAGTACCAGTAATGTGACCGAGCTGAACAAAGTCCAGGAAGTCCTATTGAGACCCTCCTGCCTGCAGCCCAGTTCAGAAACGTGCGGTGCAGAAATCCCTGGGGGCTGGGACGTGCTTGCAGCCCAGTGCGTGGGGCCGGGTGTCCGGATGCCTCTGGAACAGGAGGGCCACAAATGCCCCAGACAAAGCCAGCGATGCTTGACAAGAGAAAAATCCCGGAGAATTTCAGGCTGGGAAAATTCAGAGCGTGCGGTGTCGGAGCGCACCAGCTCTGCGAAACACTTGGCGTTTTTCCTGCTAGATTTAGGGCGATTCCAGGTTATTTCCGAGGGTCATTTTGGGCATTTGGGAGCAGTCTGCATGCCTGCAGCATGCACAGTGCCTGGGCACACGTATAAATTTTTTACATCCCTATCTGCTGGCCTGTGCAAGCAGCCTGCTCCCACCCGTAGGTACACGCAGATGCAGGTACCCATCCTTGCAAGGCAGAATTTATTTCTGTGCCTGTCAGAGACCCTCAGCTCCTAACAGGAGCGTGGAAGAGCCGTGCAGCTCTCAGCTCGCCCTGCCCCGATGCTCTTGGCTGCCTCCCCCAGGCTCGTGCTGCTCGGAGGCTCCGTTGCAGCCGGCGACGCGCGGTGCCAGCGTTAGGTGTTCATCCATAATGAGCAATCCCCTGATTGAGTGAGTTCCTCCTCTTTGCCTTTCCACTGTTTACAAGAGCAGGGAAGCATGAAATCGGCACCCCTGCTGCTCACACCGCTCACGCCACGGCGTTATTAAAAAAAAAAAACAACAAAAAACACAAAACAAACACAATATTCCTTCGTTGGCTTGTGGTTATTCAGCCTGGAAAAAGGATACTGCACCACTCACGGAGGCAGAGGGATTTGGGGAGGGGAGGGGGCCTGGCTGTCCAGCCAGACGCTGCTCTTACAAGCTTCTCGCCTCGTTTGTACGCTCCATGTGAGAGAGAAGCGCCTAAAATAAAACCCAACTAATAATTAACCCCGTTTCTCTCCTAACTGGCTGTAGCTCTTACCTAGATGTGTTAATACGACTGGAGCATTTGCAAAGCAGGTGGAGTAACCAGCGCCCCGGGTACAAACCCGGTGTGCAGACTTTTTGGTGACTTTTTGTGCTTTTGAGATGAGGGGGAAAGAGGGGTGAGCTGACATTGCCCTAAACTGTGCCTATACAACATGGAGACCACAAAAAGGGTTTTCTCCCCTGTTCTCCTCCCAGAAGAAACCTACCAGAGCTGTTGTCACATCCCTCTGAGGTAACCTGATGTTTACAGACCCATTTAAGCTTAGGGTGGAGCTCTTACGCACTCCACCTCTGTGCGTCCCAGTTCACCTTCATGGGGCAGGCTCCTTCAGGGCTCCCCGGGCACCCTCCTGGGGAATTTGGCAGCGTTGGTTCTCTTTCAGCTTAACCTGCAGCCCACTTCTGCTGGCAAGGTGGCGGCAGGACCATGGAGACACAAACCCCTTTTATCCATTAAAGCTGATGTAGTTGTATCCTCAGAAAATGTTCCTTTTTCGAGCACATCTCCGGGATTTTAGCCAAGCTGCCCAGCCCAGCAGTGCTTTTGCAGGGCAGCCCGTGCTGGTGGTGTGCAGGGGGCTGCAGCAGCACCTCTTGGGCTCAGACTTCACCACGAGGCCACCACCACTTCTCAGTGCAGGTAATTCCAGTTCCCCTTCCCATTAACTCGGGCTGCTCTTGAGATTTGCATGAACAGATCCATTTGGTAGAATAACCCGCCACCCCACTCACCTGCCAGTTGGGTATCTGTTGCAAAAGCAAGGAGCAGGGATTAAACGAAATCTTTGCTGAGTTGACGTTAATTAGCAGCAAAGTAGGATGCTGCTAAATCTATTTTCAGTAGAAAGATAGGATTTGGGATATGGGACCCCTCTCCTTTCTGAAAGCAAGCAGGCAACGTGCCCTCATCCTGACGAGGACACGGGCATCCCTGCCTGCCAAGCTGTTGGATTTTAGGGCTCACTGCAAGAAGTGTGATCCCCCCCACGTGGATGGGGGCATGCCTGTGGGATCCAGCTCTGCAGGTCGGGGTGCAGGCACAACAGGCTGCGCTGGGAACACCCGAGCCCTTGCCTTCCCCATCCACGGGGCGTAAACAGGTAATCAAGTGGCTAATTGCAGCCCTTACACGTAAAGCCGAGCGCCTTCTGCTCCCGAGGCCGGGCAGCTATTTCAAGATCACGGCAGCTCGAAATAGATCACGAGGCTGTGGTTTGGGGGGGAGCTGGAGGAGGTTGCTCCAGTTCTGTAGGATTAACAACCCTTTTCTTGCCTACTGCTCACCTAGGGGGGGGGGAGCAGCCTCCAGCCCCGTACCGGTGTCAGCTTTGTTAAACATCTGGAAAGGAGTGGAATTAACGAAGCTCCTACAAGACAGTAGTCTAGCAACAATTAGCATGAGCCTTGTTAAACACTTTAAGAACATTAATGAGCTCACCTAGAGACCTGGATTGTCATTTCATACCTGCTGCTTTTTTTTTCTTTCTTTTTTTTTTTTCCGGTGGGATCATTTTTAATAGAAATAAAATGTGATAATAATAACCTTCAACTGTCTTTTTAAGGGTAGAATATTGGATTTTATGACTTCTGAGGAAATATATTGGCAATGCTTTGGCTTTTGGCTCCGGGTGAGAACACCAACACAACCTAACTTACGTGAGTGTGAGCCCAAAACCCAGGTTCCTGTGGGCTTTGGGGCGTTGATAGCTCCCTTTTGTTCTGCTGGCCCTCCTCTTCCATTTCCCTTTCAGTCCTCTTGAAACCATCCCATTTGTAGGATTTTCCAAAGACTAAACAAAAAAAGGAATTTGAACAACGAGCCCATCATTTATTTAAATCTCGTTAAAGCACCCCAAAATATTTTGTGACTTAATTTCCATTTACAGTGAGCGTAGACTTTAAAAAAAAAAAGGAATCCTGATATTCTTATAAAAACAGCTCTTTTAGCCAGCACTGACTATCTCGGGAGCTGTCTTGCCAAGACTGGGAGCTCCACTGGACCGTGGATGTTTGCATAATCAAAGTATTACCAGGACACTGTCCCATGGCCATGTAGTCTGCGGCCGCCACCGCTGTTTGTTCCCCTAAATTGTTGTCTTTGGAATGTGTAAACCAGCTAATTTATTTTCACTTTGCTTCTGTCGTGTTTTCGGGGATTAGCTTGAACAAAAGTCCCCTCCGCATTCTTCCATTTAGGGCTTCTGGAAAGGGGAGGCCTGCCAAACGCACAACAGGCTGGCAAAAAAAGTGAAGTTCTGTGTGTGGTCAGTTCCGTAAATGGCACAAGGTTTTGTAGTTAAAACCTTTTACAACTTTCGGTTGTTCTCGAGAGCCACCCCCCCTCCGGCCCCGTTTCATTCTCGAACAAATTAAACCCGATATATTCAACCCGTGATTTATGGGGAAAACGGGGCTTGGAGTCTGAGGAAGGGAAATTGGGAGTTTGAGCATGGAAGGTACCGATTTTTTTCCTTTTTTAAAAAAAAATCTTGCAAAACACAACAGCATAACCGCCTAAACTGCTGAGCTGTTCTGGGAGGATTCCTGCAGCCCCGAGCCCCCTGTGATTTTTGGGAACCCATTACTTGCTCGCTCACCTGGCGTGTTTTCAGGACAGCCGAGATCTGAATCCCTCTTCCTCCTGATACAGCGCCCACCGGGCTTTTTAGAGCAGCTGCACTGACTTTATTCAAGGAAAAAAAATTAAAATCCACACCTTTTTTAATATCCTTAAAGAAATCGAGGTGTCTTTCGGAGCTGCAAACCAGCCGGCAGCTCGGCAGGCTGCACCTCCCAAAGCACCACTTTCGGGTTGCTGGAGGCTGAATAAATTCATTGCTCCATATCTCTGAAGCCAGGTTCCCAAAAGCTGTTAACCTAACGAGTCGGTTCGACAAGATGTGACTTGTCCTTGGGAAGGAACACGTTGGGAGATGTCTGGGGAGCTCTCCTCTCGTTGCTCGCCGTCCGCGCCAGCTCGCGGCGGCTTCAGCACGCGGTGCTAGCATCGGACGTGCCTGGCTCAGCTCCCCATTCCAAACTTTAGTTATCCTAAATCCACCCTGTCCCAAACCCAACTGCAGGAGCGGATTTTCTGCTTTGGATCTTCACGTGGTAGCCGAAAGCAAGGCAAAATGTCAAATCGCTGCCTGTAAGTCAGTGTCTCTCTGTCTGCCTCCCCTACAAGTCCCTGGGAAAGCTGCAGCTCCTACTGGATCCACCTGCAAACCCTCTGCCAGCTCTTCTTTCCCCAGAAACCCTCCAGGGAAAGCTGTGGCCAGCCCCTGCCCCCTTTTCTTCCTGGGGAAGCCTCCCCAGCCCTGCCAGGCTCTCTCTCCTGCCAGCCCCGCTGCTCGCCGGCCATGCCCTGCCCTGCAACCTGCACCCCTGCCGCTGCTTCTCGAGTGTTCCTCGGGTTGTCCTCACTATCCCGTCGTGGTGCTTTCCTGTTTACTCCTTCCACAGCCCTCTTTTGTTTTTCAGCAGCGTAGCTCACCAGGAAACCCTATGGCTAGTTTCAATCATTTCCCCCCTGCTGCCCGCAGCGCTTCGTGCCCCGGCTGTGCCGCAGCGCCCAGCGCACCGTGCCCGGTCCCCTGGCGCACAGCACGTGGTGAGCGGTGTTAGCACAGCAGGACAAGCCACCTTCACGCCTTTTTGTTGAGTTATTCGTGGTGGGAGCCTGGTGGCCGTGCTCCAGCCAGCACTGCACGGTGCCAAGGGGCAGGAGCAGGGAGCAGCAGGAGCCGCAGCCCCGTCCTCCTCCTCCTCGCTGCGCCCTGGGGACTCCACGCTGTGCTGGCACAGGCTGGGACCCGCTGCCTCCCCCAGGGCTGCGTTTGGAGAGGAGCAGGGCTGGGACAGGTTTCCAAAAGCTGCTGTGTTGGGGCTCGCCGAGCCCTGCGTGCTGCGGTGGGAGGAGGATCCGGAGGGAAACATCGCTGTTTGTCTGAGGCTTGGGCCGCCTCCACCTGCAGAAAAAAGTGGAATTTCTTTCCTCCGAGTGGTGCCAGAAGGCTTTGAGCCCCTCTTTCTGCTAACCCCTCATTGCACCTGATACCCATTTAAAAAAATAATTTAAAAAAGTGTAAATTGAACATTTAAAAACTTAACCGATATCCAGTATTCTACCCTGAAAAGCTTTTCACGATCAAGATTAGAATCATCAGTCCGTCCTGATGGTTTTAATATGTGGTCGAGAAGTTTACCCATCTTGCTGGCATCCAGTCACGTCACTCCTCATAATCTCTCTCTCGTTTTTTTTTAGCCTTGTTGTTCATAAGTTCCTTTCCGAGTGTTTCTTTATTTGAAATGCCATTTATATTTTGTTGCCTTTTTTTTTTTCCAGCACATGTTACATCTCTGTTTTTGTTTTGTTTTTTGTTTTTGTTTTTAATCTCCTTTCTGGCATTTTCCATCGCTCTGTGGCCGTGGTTGTGGATGTGTTTGGGGTTTTGCCTGCCTTGCTGTTCTCTCGCTGCACTCCCTAGATCCCTGTTGCACAGTCCTCTGTCATGGATGACATTGAGGAGTGGCTCAGTACCGACTTGGTGAGACACTTTATTTTTTCATTTTTCACACAATAATTAGATGATTTCCCATGCAGTGCAGTTCCTGGTGTTTCTCGTAACAGGGAGCAGAGAAAAATCCAAATCTCGTAGCTTAGCTCCTTTTGGGGGGTGTATGTAAGCAGGGGGCGATGGGGCTGTGCTCAGCAATCCAACACGTTTTATTCTGCCCTGTTTTGTTCTCCCTTCTCCATGCTCCTTCCCCAGACATTGCGTGTTTGCTCCCTGCAGAGGGAAGCATTTAAACACGTCTTAGGGTTACCTGAGTCCCCCACCAAACTTCAGCCACGTGCTTAAAGCTACCCAAGGACGGGTTTGCTTCCAGGCAAGCTCTTGGAGATATTGCATCAGGGCCTAGGTGCCTTCCAAATCAAGATGCTTTGGTTAAATACGTGAGCAGGAAATCTTGATACGTTTCATCATCACAACACCAATAATAGTAATAATAATAATAAAAATTTATAACGACGTCTCTCCAGTGTTTACAGCTTTCAGTTTCTCCCGAAAGATTAGCGTCTGGTAATTATCGAACAAACAAACCGAAGACATAAGGAGCTTTTCTTTCTGTCTGGGGTTTGTTTTGCTGTGCCAGGACACCCGTGGGTTAGGCAGTGGCACAGCCAGTACGCATTTATCCAGGGTTTGTTGGTTTATTTTTTTTTTTGATGCAAGCACCTGACTCAAATTAACCGAGAGCACTTTGGGGCCAGGCGGTGGGTTGCAGTTCAGGCTGTTCTTTCAGACGTGCTGTAAGCGAACCAAAATGTTCCTTTGTGTGGTCACCGTGCCCATCAGGAACACCTCCTCCCGGTGCTCCTCGCTCTCCCTGCTCCCGCAGCTCTCCTCCAGCCAGAGCTGGGGGCTCTGACCCAGGTAAATTAATTTAGCAGAAGATATAAAGCTCTGGAGAGGTACCGAGGGAGCTCTGTGCATCTGTTCTGCCCTAAAAAGAGCAAACCAGAGGTTAGGTGATCTGTGGGTATCCCCTCACCCCTTTTGGGGTACGCTGGGGAAAATCACAAGTGCATGTGGCTGCTGCGGGTACCCTGGGGAACCTCAGGACCATGGAAAGCTTTCAGATGCTGGGTGACATTTTGGTGCTCACACTCTCCTGGTGGGAAAGCTCGTGCTTTTTTTAGTGTCCTAACAGACTGACAGGGATGCCACCTCCTTGGACTTAATTTCTTCCTTAAAGAACTGTTGGAAATTCCCACCTTGAAGTGCACACAGCTGCTAGAAACGTCCTGGCCCCACGGCATCCCAGCCTTTGTACCTCACAGCCTGGGCACCAGGAACCTCTTTTTTTGTAGGGCATCTAAAATGAACCCCCACGGAAAGAACACTGTCCCTAAACTATTTCGTGGCACGTGTCCTTTGCCAGTTAAAGCACATTTTATTTGAAAGCACCCCACATCCACAGACCTTTTTAAGGGGCGTGTGGGGGTGCTTTCTGCCTCGTGCAGCCCAGGTTTGGAGCAGGCTTTCAGTCTGAGGCAGAGCTGGGCTGCCTCTCAGCTCCAGCAGGGAACAATTTTGCAGCCAGCTGCCACCAGCAACCTTCAGAGGCATCTCTGGTGCTGCTCCCTCAGCTCTCAGCTCGGTGACGTGTCGCTCACCACCGGCCTGGTGCGGGGGCCCTGCCATTTCCCCGATTTCCCCTATTTGCTCAGCAGTTAGCGTCTGGAAGTGAGTGGTGGGAGCCATCCCGTTGCATTTAATGGGGACGAGGGGTGACAGCGGGGGCGAGGCTCTGCCTGTGCGCTCACACTCCTTTTTGTTCCGATTGCAGAAGGGAGATGAGCTGGAAGAAGGAGTGACCAGCGAAGGTAAGCAGGAGATGCCGTGAGCCGTGCCCTGTTAGTGTCCAGACTGAACGATCTCTGATCCCTGCTGAGATGCCAGCTTCTCCCAGCCTGCTGTTCCCCAATAAATGCTTCTGTGTGCTTGGAAGAGAGCGTTTCATTGCAAAAAGTTGGTGTTTATTGAGGAGCCCTCCCCGCTGTAAGCGCTTTCCTGCGCATCCTTGGATGCGCACTGTGTTGGTGCCCGGAGGGTGCATGTCCGAGCTGCTCAGCCCTCTGGAAGGAGGTTTCCCCTCTCCTGCCGTGCTGATCGTGTAGGGTGGGCTTTCATCCCCCCTGCTGCCTGAGCTGGGGTGGCTCAGAGGACATCTGTGCCCTTTCCTGCAATCCCAGCCTTGTGGGACACCAGGGATTTCGGACCCCACCAACCTCTGGCTAAAGGCACAGCCCCACTTCTTACCCGCCTTCCTTTTTTTTTTTTGCATTGCAGAATTTGACAAATTTTTAGAAGAGCGAGCCAAAGCGGCCGAGATGGTTCCCAACCTGCCGTCCCCTCCCCTGGAAGCCCCCACCCCGCCGACAAACCCTTCGAGCAGGAAAAAGCAGGAGCGCTCGGAGGACGCCCTCTTCGCACTCTGAGGATTTGCTCGGCCACCCCCTGGGCTCTGCAGGAGAAAAATCGCCGTCCGGCCACCTCGTCCTCTCTCAGCACTCGGCTAACAACGCCCCCCTCGCCCCCCCCGGCTCCACCGATCGCTTCTCCTCCTTCTCCTCCCTCCCTGTCTCCAGCAACCCATCCCCACAAAGCCGACTTCTTTCTATTTCAGTCCGACGCTCTTCCTGCCAGACCACGATTTTCCAGCACTTGCTTAATCCCCTCCTTCCTATCCCGGCTGCACAAAACCAGCTCTTGATGCTGAAAACCTCTTTCGAATGCATGAGTACGTCACACTGTGTTGAAACAAAAGCCCAGAGGGGAGAGAGCAGCCTTGCCCTTCAATTTATGTCGGGATCATCCTCTTCTGGAGGCAGGTCCTGCCAAGTAGACTGCTCTGTCGATCAGCATGGAATTGACTGAGCTGGAATGTTCAGAGGGAGCGGGGCTTTATTTTTAGATAAAATGTTAATGTATTGGCTTTCGTGTCGGATTCGACAGCAAGGAGCAACTGTTCCCCTTTCAACATGTGCTTCACAAGTTAAAATCCTTTTACTCTCCCACTCACACATCTCCTGCTACCATATGGTGGCCGCTTCTCCCCGCGCGGCGCGGCGCTCCGGATTCCTAATCTCACGGGGTATTTTCTTCCTTGTGTTTTATCTGGGCTTGCTCTAATTTGAAAGCAGTCTGTTGGCTCTGTCCGGTCGCTCTGGCAGTTGACGAGAATGAAAAGCGCCGAGCTGAATGGATGCTGGAACGTTAGCACACCGAGCAGTTTGCTCTTTGGGAGAGCATTTCGCGCAGGAGGATTTTTTTATTTTATTTTATTTTTTCTAGAGTGTTTGCCTTTTTTTAAAATAGCTGGGTTATTTTTTCCTTACCTTAGATCCCTTCCTCAGTGGCTGCAGAGCCCTGCGTTTGTCTGGGCTGGCGTAAATAGCATCTGTGAGGAGAGGAGAACCCTACAGAGGCTCGTGAGGGAATGCTGATGGAGATGGTTATCCGTAGCCGTGCTGGAGGAGGAACAACTCCTTTCCTTTAGGGCTTGAGAGAGTCTTGGATGATTGTGGCCATGCTAGATGGAACCCTAAATGTTTTTGGAGCATCCTTTGCAGCCCCTGCCCCTTTATCACTCCCAGCTCCTGGGGGGCTGCTCTTCCTGGGGGGATTCCTCCCCGTGCGCCCACCTCGCCTTGGCACAGCCGGGCTGCCCGGGCTGCTGCTGCGTGCCGAGCTGGCTCCGGTGCTGCTTCTAGCGCACGAAGCCGTGCTGCAGACAGCTGATGTGAGAGAGAGAGGCTTTATCCGGGCACGGTTGGTTCAGCTCCTAACAAACTCTGAGGCACGCCGCGCTCGGTGGCTCGCGACGCAGAAAAACCTTGTCCCTGGTGGGCTGAGGGCTGTCAGCTCCAGCTCTGCAGGGAAGAATTGTTTGGTGCAGGTTTTCCAGGCCACCCCAGGTCAGCTGGCCCTTTCTGCTGTCCCTGCCATCCTCCCTTCTGTCCTGCCCTGCCTGCCTTGGCCACCCCCAGCTCTGCTTTGCCCCCCCTGCTGCCCCGTAGCCCCCTGTACGGCTTGCAAGAGGCCAAGAAAAATCAGTATAAGGATGGAGATGGCTTGGGGACCACGCTGCCTCTTCTCCCTGCTTGCTGGCTCACCCTCTGCGTCCCCGAAGCCTCGCTGTGTGAGTCTGCAGAGGGTTTCCCTCAATTTTTCTCCTCTCTGTGGCTGAAGGAAAGCGCCCTGCTGCTCTCCCGCGCCGCCCTCGCTCTTTGGCACAAGGTGAGCCCGACACTCAGGTGCTGGGGTGCCAGACACCCCGCAGCCAGCTCCTGCCAGGCTCTGCCTTCCTGCAGCTGTGGCCCCAAGCTCCAGAAACCCGAGGAAATTTCTGCTGCGGCGCTGATTTGGTTCCAGACAGCGTCTGGTGATCGCCCGAGCAGCCTCGCCGGCGCAGAAGGAGCTGTGGGTATTCCCGTCGGTGCAGAAAAAAGCTCCGTGGGTGTTTTTAGGAGTGTGCTTCTGCTTCTAAATCCTTGAAACACGTCGACCCCGTAAATGGCCGCATCAGGTGATTCTGAGCGTGTTAATCCAGCTTCCCTGCCAAGCCCAGGGCGATAATCGCATGGCTCAAGCGCGGAGCGATGCCGAATGATGCTGAGTGGCAAGAACAGCACCAGGGCTGTCACCAGAGCCCCTGGAGTCCCCCACTGCTATGGATTTGCTGCCCCTCCTTCCCCCAGCCCTACACAAAGACAGGGAGCTGGGAACCCCGCTTCTTCCTCCTAAGCCTGGGGGGGCTCTCGGTGGAGGTGCAGCCCCCCGGGGCTGGCCAGGCTGGCTCCCACAGCACCCAGCACGCAGGGGAGGGAAATGATGGCAGGGAAAGAGCGTGTGGAGGAGCCAAGGTTTGTCCTGAGCCTCCTTTAACAGACGGAGAGCTGCGCTGGAGCTCCCTAATGTCCTGTATCAGGATCCCCCACCTTCCCCGTCCTCGTGCGCCCTGCGGATAACCTGCAAGCTGGAAACAGCCTGGGAGGAAAGGGAAGGGGATTTTCGCTTTGGAAGACTGACCCGTGATTAATTTTTCCTTCGCTTTCACCCTAAATTCCTCCGTGCAAGTGGCCGTGGTGTGAGCGAGAAGGGGGATGGAGCTTTGCGCCTGGGGAACCATCCTGAGGCTCCCCGGGCAGGCCGGGGGGCACGGCTTGCTAACGACACTAAATTATTCCCGGGGTCCTTCGTCAGTTCTAATCCTACCCTGTCCTAGGTTGAGATATTTATTTTGTCAGTGTATTCCCTTTCCGGTGTGTTTTTAACCCCTTCTGTTAACCCCGAGGTGTAAGAAATGAATGCTTTCTATTTAAATGCCTCCTTCGGGTTTTTTTTTGTTGTTTTTTTTTTAATTGTTGCGTGTAGCTTTCAGCTGCTCCTTGGGCAGGTGTGGTAGCTCACAACGCGCCGTGCGGACATCCAGGGTGCTTCGGCGAGGCTCACAGAACTGCTCCTAAAAACGTGCCCCGGTGGTTTTGAAAGGGAACAGCCTCAGTGGGGAGACTGGTGCGTACTGGGGTGCTGAGGTCTCCTTTTGGCTGCTGGGATCCTGCGGGGCTCTGCCTGTGCTATCTCCATCCCTGCTGGGCCAGGCTCATCCAGCCCAGTCATTGTTTACCTCCTCCGTGCTGACCACAAGGCTCGCCGAGCCTACCCTGGAAAAAAAAACAACAAAACAGCTCAGGACGGATATTTTTATGGAAATACTGAAGCAGGCAATCGGCGAGTGGATTTGTAGGCGTCCTGGAGGTCACCCTTCAGCTGCTGGGGCACCCACGGCTCCTGCTGAGGAGGCAGGGATCCCCAGCCGTGCCCTCGGAGGCGATGCTGGTGTCCGCCAGCACAATTCACCCCAAAATGCAGCCTCTGGAGCAGGCTCCCAGCCCCGGCGTCCCCGCTGCTCCGTCCAGGAGAGAGGTGAGGATGCGTTTTGCTGAGGGCCAGCTGGATTTGGAGCCTCACCAAGCTCCGGTCCTGCTGAGCCCGCGGCAAACAGGCGCCCACCTCCCAGCTCTGGGTTTTTATGAGCTCCTCGTTCTGTACCCGGCATTACGAGCTGTCGTTAGCCCTACAAATGTAACCTGTGTAATAGCTTCTCTGTATATTACAGCTGTAGGCTTTCCAGATGAAAGTGGATAATATTTATTTACTGAAGATACTGGGTATTTTTTTTTGTTTGTTTGGGAACGGGGTAGGGAGAGGAGGGGGACGTAACTACTTACAGAGATCGACTGCGTAAAGAGGAACAAAACGCAAAAAAAAGAAAAAAAAAAAAAGTGAAGAAACCCAACACTAAAACGTTGCTGTATTCACCTAGCAAGTGTTCACTCACGGGAGATTCACCTGTATTAATCCGCCGTCGTTTAACTTGTTCCAGAAATCATCTCTACTTTGGTTCCTGCATGTGAGATTCTCCAATAAACGCACTACTCGTGTCACCGGGCCCTGCGCTCTCTGTCCCTCGGGTGTCTTGGCTGGGGACGGGCACAGGGGTGCTTGGGGGGATGGCTCTTGTGCCCGGGGTGCCCCGGTGGCCCTCGGGGGGTGGCTTGGGATCAGCTTTTGGTGAGCTAGAAAGCGGCTGGGGACGAGCTGCTGGGCGCTGCGGTGCCCCCAGGTTCCCAGCCCAAGCTTCTCCTGGCTCACGGGCCAGGAATTTGCTCCCCACATCCTCGTTTGTGAGGGGGGGGGGTGCTGAGCTCGTGCCTGTGTCGGAAGCATCCTGGTGGGCGCACAGCTCGGGGAGGTGCTCAGCTGCTGAGCAGGAATCCCCAGAAAAAGCTCCGGGTGCAAACCTGCAGCGCCGTGCCCTGCGGTGGGCACCAGACGTGTGCGCTGCCCCCCCTGTGCGTGGGGCAGAGATCCCCAGATCCCAAATCCTTCCTCCACCTCCAGCAGGGACCCAGGTGGCTCCGGAGGGGACGGCTGCCACCGCAGCCTCGGGTAACGAGGGAGAGGCTTTAAATCTGCTGGCAGCACGCGCTGGGGCACAGCAACCCCGGGCACAGGGGGCACAGAGGGACAGCAAGGTGCTGGGGACAGCGGGTGCCAGCTGCACGAGGGGTGCTGGGGTTCGGGGTGCTGGGGTCGGGGTGCTGGGGGCAGCCCCGGTGCTGCGAGCCCGAGGTGGCCACGGGCGCAAAGTGGCCCCAAGAGTCCAAAACGGCCACAGGAGCCTAAAGTGGCCACAGGAGCCTAAAGTAGGCCACATGAGCCCGGTGTGGCCACAGGAGCCCGATGTGGCCATGTGCCCAAAGTGGCCACATGAGCCCAAAGTGGCCATACAAGCCCGATGCAGCCACACGAACCCGAAGTGGCCACACGAGCCCGAAGTGGCCACATGAGCCCAAGGTGGCCACTCGAGCCCAAGGTGGCCACTCGAGCCCATCCATCCGTGCGCCCAGCTCTCGCCGTGGCGGCTGCGGTTCGTTTCCCATCTCCTGCTCGCCCCGTGCCGGGGAAGTTGAGCGTCCCGGCAGCTTGGGCAGCACCACGTGTCCCCGGCGGCGGATCCCGGCGGCCCCGACATGATGTAATCGCGGGCCCCGCGCCGTGATGCAGGATCACTCCACTCTGGCCGCCGCGCTTATTGGCTGCGTGGCGCTGGTTCTACGGGCGGGGTTTTTTTTTCCTTACCCCCCGCGCAACCCAACCGAGCTTACCCTCGGGGAGCCCCACCCCGCGTGGCAGCCCCTCCGCCACCACCCAACCCAACCCGGCCGGCCTGGGACCCCCAGACCCTCGCCCACCGCCCCGCGGGTGCCGTTTGGTGGCCCCATGGTGTGGGGGGGCCCCGGGGAGCGTGGCCTTTCTGTTTTTTTTGGGGGGTGTGGGATGGGAAGGGGCCCTGTGGAGTCTAGGTTGGAGTGGGAATAAAGCTGTTTGGGTGGTTTGGGGGTTTTTTTTGGTTCCCCCCCCCCCCTCACGGTGGGTTATTAAAGGGGTGCGACCCTCGCGTTTGCGCTCGGCTGCTTTGTGGGACACGGCACGCTCGCCCCCACAGCGACCCTAATAAAATGGAAGGGGGGGGAGAGATAGCGTGCAGCCCCCCTGAGGCACCCCATGGCAAGTTAGGGGGGCTCCTGGGGGGGGTTTCAACAGCCTCTGAGAACACCCGAGCAGCTCCAGCCAGAGCCCCCCAGCTCCGCCACCACCATGGGGTGCCCCACGCAGGGTTTTGCACAGGGGTGCACCGGGGGGGCGGGGGGGGGAGGATTTTAGGGTGCAGCCAGCTTTCATTAATTATTGGGCAGCCTCTGTCCTGCTTGGCAGAGCAGGCAAACTTCAGAGGGGCTGCTGGCGCAGTTGGTTTCGTTTTCCCAAGTTATTCCCGGAGCTGAGACAAAACACAAGGGGCTCCCCCAAAATCCCAGCACCCCCCCTCTGTGAGCACCCTCTGGCTGCGCTGGGCCCCTCTGAGCTCCCCTGGGTGCACGATGCTGGGGCAGCCCAGGTATTTGGAGCCCAGATAATTATTTGGTGCACAGTAATTTATTTGGTGCCCTGGTATTTGGTGCCCACGCATTTATTTGGTGCCCAGGCGTTGATTTGGTGCCTGGGTAGTTATTTGGCACCCAGGTACTTGGTGCCCAGGGATTTAACTTGGTGCCCAGGGATTTATTTTTTTGGCACCTGGATGTCTGGTGCCCAGGTATTGATTCAGTGCCCAGGTATTGATTTATTTGGAGCCCAGATATTTATTTGATTCCCAAGTACTGGGTGCCCAGGTACTTGGTGCCCAGGTATTCATTAATTTGGTGCCCAGGTATTGATTTGGTACACAAATATTGGGTGCCCAGGAACTTTTTGCCTGGGTATTGATTTATTTGGTGCCCATGTATTGATTTATTTAATGCCCAGATATTGATTTATTTAATGCCCAGGTATTGATTTGGTTCCCAGGTACTGGGTGCCCAGGTACTGGCTGCCCAGGGCTTTAATTTGGCGCCCAGGGATTTATTCGGTGCCTGGCTGTCTGGTGCCCAGGAACTGATTTATTTGAAGCCCAGATATTTATTTGGTACCCAAGTATTGTGTGCCCAGGAACTTGGTGCCCGGGTATTGATTAATTCGGTGCCCAGCTATCGATTAATTTGGTGCCCAGCTATTGATCCACTTGGTTCCCAGGTGCCCAATAACTCTCTACCCAGGACCCTGCTGCAGAGACGGACACCCCACAAGGGGGGGAGCAGCACCCCGAGGAGGGGGTGCCTTTGCCGGAGCCGTTCTCGGGGCCGTTCCCGGGGCCGCCCCTCGTCCCGCCCTCCCCCCCCCCCCCCGGTGGCTCCCGCCCCTCCCGGCCGCAGGTCCCCGGCGCTCATGGTGCGAGCGGCCGCGGCCGGGCGGCGCCGCCGGTGCTGAGCTGCGGGGATGAGCGCCCTCGCCTTCGACGACGGGAGCCTGGACGGGCTGGCCCCGGCCCTGGGGCTGCCCGGGGGCAGCGACATCGACACGGCGCTGCTCAGCGACATCGACGGTGCGGGGGACCCCGGGGAGCCCCGGGTTTTGGAGAGGGAGGAGAGGGGGGGGGGTACCGGGTTATGGTGGCGCTGGGATTAGGGGAGGTGGGAGAACAGGGATTGGGGGGGGTTACAGGGATTGAGGGGGGGTGGGGGAAGCGGGATGGGGGATATGGGGGCACCGGGATGGGGGATATGGGGTACCGGGATGGGGACGGCTGGGAGCGGCGCTGCGCGCTCGGTGCGCACCCGGGGCTCGGTGCGCGCCCAGGGCTCGGTGCGCACCCGGGGTTCGGTGCAATAAGGGGGGGCTCGGTGCAAAACCGGGGTTCGGGGCAATTACCGGGGCTCGGTGCAATAGGGGGGGGCTCGCTGCGATACCGGGAAGCCACGCGTGGCCGTGGGGGGTGCAGTGCCCGGTGCCCGGTGCCCGGTGCCCAGCCGGGAAGCCACGCGTGGTCGCGGGGGGTGCAACGCCCGGTGCAATACTGGAGAAGAGGGGGGGGGGACAGCGGGCTCGGTGCAACACCGGGGGCTCGGTGCAATACCGGAGAGCCGTAGCACAGCCCGGGGGGGCCGCTCCCGGTGCCGGGGGGGGGAAGGATTTGGGGTTTTTGGGGGCGCGGAGTCGCTGCTGGGTTGCGTCGTGCGCGATCCGGGGGGTTCGGGTACCGGGTGTCCCCCCCCTCCTCGTCCCGGGGGGCTCGGTGCCGGTGTCGGGACCCCCCTCGTCACCCCCCCCAGCCTTGTGTCGCCGCCAGCCCCGCCCCGCGGTAGCGTCACCGCCGGGGTTACTCCCGGTCATTCCTCCTGGCTTCCCGGGGCGGGGGGGGGAAGGGAAGGGAAGGAAGGGGAGGGGGAGAAGCGGCCCCGGGGCTCTGCGGAGCATCCCCGGGCCCGGAGCCCTTGGTACCGGGTCTTTTAGGGAGGGGGGCTGCACGGTGGGGATGGGGCCAGTGGGATCCACTCCCCAGCACCGAGCTGTACCCGATCCCATAAGGGTTCCCATAACCGTACCTGTTCCCATAACAGTTCCCATACCCATACACGTTCCTATTCCCATTCCCATAACCGTTCCCATTCCCATAACCGTTCCCATTCCCATAACCATTCCCATACCCATAGATGTTCCCATTCCTATTCCCATAACCATACCCATAACCGTTCCTGTTCCCATAACCATTCCCATACCCATAAAACTCCCATTCCCGTTCCCATAACCGTACCCACAACCGTACCTATTCCCATAACCATTCCCATACCCATACCCATTTCTTTCCCATTCCTATAACCATTCCCATACCCATACACGTTCCCATACCCGTTCCCATACCCATACAGGTTCCCATTCCCGTTCCCATAACCATTCCCATACCCATACACATTCCCGTACCCTTACCCACCCCATACCCATACCTGTCCACATCCCTGCACCCATTCCCATACCCCTACCCCTACCCATTCCCATTCCCACCCCCGTCCCCATAGCCAGCCCTCCCCCAGCACCGAACAGGTTCCCTGGCTGGCAGCACGTGGTGCCCGTCCCGGCTGAGCTCGCCGAGCGTCGGGGCCCCGAGGCATCCCCGGCACAGACCGGCCCAGCCGGTGGAGCACGCGGCGGGGTGGGGAGAGGGTGTGGGGCCGCCCGAGCCCCCCGGCACCCTGCAGCACCCACGGGACGCTCGGGGAGGTCGGTGCCGGGAGCCCCCTCTCCAGGGCCGTTCGCGGTGTCCCCGTGCTGGCACCTGAACCCAAACCCAAAGCCAAGGGGGTGACCTTTAACCAGGATGGCAGCAGCGGGGGAAGCGATGCATCCTGCCGCCCGGCTCCCCGCGAGGACTTTGGCTGCGGGGTGTCGTGCCCCACAGCCGCGCTGGCGTCCCCTCTGCCCTCCTTGGCCCCGAACCAGGGCTGAGACGGTGCGCCGGGTCACCAGCGGGCAGCCACCGCCGGGACACCCCGCTTTGTTTGGCCGT